CGCATAGGTCACGTCTCCCCAACTGGCCAGGATGATGAGCAACGCCGTGAAGCCCAGGTCCCGCTGCTGGGTGGCTCGCCGAAGCGCTTGTGGTTGTTGGGCACGAAGCCGCGCACCTACTGACCCCCATCTTCGCTTGAGTTCTTTGAGGGCTCCTACCGCGCGCTGGCGCATGGGTCGCAGGGCCCCTCTGTGCTTGGCGTTCACCTCCGCCGCAAACAAAAGGTCGGCGTCGAGCACGGGATGTAGTTCTGTAGGAAGCGGTCGGGTGCCCAAGTGAAGAGACTGCTCGAAGTGCTCATCCACCGAGAGGCCGAATGGTAACAGAGGGGGCAAGGCAGCCCGGTGCGTCGAGGCCCCAATCTGCAACCCATCGGCCGTGCGCTGTCGAAAGCGTTGCTGTCGTTCGGCGGCACCGGAACGAGGGGTCCCTCCCACTCGTCGCCCCGTGCCGCGAGCCATCTGCAGAAAGTGTCGAAGGGGGCCTGGTTGAGTAGGTCCTCGACCATGGGGAAGCGAAATCCCCGGAACCAGTCGGCGGGGAACAGCTTCCGGAACCGTAGAATAACCGCTTCTTGCTGGAAGGGGACAGGTACCGCCTGCCCGATCACTCGACCTGCTGCCCACGCTTCTCGGATCTTCGCCGTGCTCGGTAACCAAAGACCAGCCGCTTTGGGGTGAGGGAGAGGCTCGCCCTCGCCCAAGCGAAAGAAGAGGAGCCCCGCCAACACGTCTGCCTCACACAGAACCTCCATGGGGGTGTCGGAGAGGAGGGTCAGGCCCACCAGCTCCTCAAGATCGTGCCATAACTCGGCGGCCACGAAGTCGGCGTAGCGCGCCAAGGCTTGCCCTGGATCACAGGTGAGACCAGCCACCCAGGGATTACGCCACTTTGAGGTGGGTAGTCTGTGCTGATAGTTGCCCTGACCCACGTAGACGCAACCAGCCGGCAGCAAACCTTTTGTAACCACTCGATCCTCGGCTAAGGCCTTCGCTGGTACCTGGTCCGCGGCTGGGAGCTGCCCGGGTCGCATACCCAAAGAGATTGCCAAGGGCGCCATGGCCGCCGAGCGCAGGGCCTCGGGGGCAACTCGAAGCCAATGCTCCCGCCGGCCGGTAATCTCCACCGGGGGCAGTCTATGTATCTGAACCACTGCCAGGCCGCGCCGGGCTGCCCACCAAGACGCCGAGACTGCGATGAAGAAGGCCAGCGGAGCCGTGACCTGTGCTCCCTCCTGGTCAGGGGACCACAGCTCGCCATCGACCCAGCGTGGGTCCCACTCGGAGGGTCATGAAAATGTTGGCACAACAAAGGCGGCCCCGAGGCGAGCTCGTCGATGTTGTGGCGAAGGCGTCGTGATCGACATCGTGCCCCGGCGAAAACACAGGACGAGTATGGTGTGTCGTGCCATGCCTCGGAAAAGGCGTCGTGCGTGACGGTCGGCACCTGATGGCTGACAGCGGTCAACGCCTCTTCCAAAACGCAGCCGCCTCCACGCTCCCGGACCTGCTCCACCTGTCGCTGGAGGAATGCGATCACCGCGTCCTTGGAATCAGCGGTTGCTATGCTAGGGGCGCCGCCTTGCCGCTGAGCCGTGGGGTCCCGCCCCACTGCTCGGCTGTCGGCGAGAGGGCGCAAATAGGCCCGACCATCGTCGAAAAATTCCGGAACTTCTCCGGCTCGTGGTCTGGCCGTCTGGTCTCGGGAAAAGAACAGGAGGTCGGCGGATGAGATGTCCGCGGCCGCGGTGTCAAACCACCTGGTGTCCCCAGGGTCCCCGGTTGGACCAGGCCGACCCGAAGACGGGAGAACACGCCACCCACACCACAGGAAGGCAGTGCCCAACAGGTTGTCGGGATCCGACTGGAGAA